TAGTATCACCGTTGTATGATACCACTTGAACTGGTTCTTCTTCGTTGCCTTGAGTTACCCCTTACTACGTATAATCCAACCTACGAGAAAGTTGACCACACAGGTTATCTGTGACTCGGACACAAGTGGACATCTTAGGCTGCCAAATGACACTTGGTAGTCCGGTCTAATAAAACATTGGTTACATATTTTGTAAGAACCCACGCACATCATGTGCAATCAAAAGCATCGACTTGCCTCTTAGTAAGAAGGAGCTGTGAGCGATCGTAGCACCAAAGTGTCGCTTAGATACAATATGTGATCAGGCTAAAGATCCTATTCTACCTGACTACCACTATCCCTGACCCCGACTATATATGCGGTTTAACGGAAACTTTGGCCAGCGGATTATGTTTTTTTCGAACAGGTACTTTGGTCTCATCAGCATTTGCCTGCTGTTAAAAGCCAAATTTCTGAATAGCACATTGGTTTCCTCTGATTAATGTGACTGCATTTCCAGGAAAAGTGCCCACTCACTTGATCAGCGTCACACTCTGACAGACTATTTCACTTTGATCCCCTAAGCCCACTCTCTAAATGAGACTTTGGAGTGACAGGCGTGTCGGTAACAGGTTTCCCGGCCGACAAAAGTTAACTACCCTAGCAACTACGTATACAGTACAAACTTCTAATTTTGTCGTCAAAAAGACTACGTCAACAGGACTTAACAGCTAATTAGCCCTTGCAACTACGTATTCATCACACGTATACTTTTTTTACCACCAAACCCATCTTGACAGTTATGTCAATGGTTCTGAAACAGACTGGTTCTAAACGAGTGAGTGCACATGTCTTCTGTTCCAGGCTCGCTTTTGGAGAAGTTGTCCTTAATCTAGCTGATCGGAATAAAAGAACCAACACCACTTTAAACGTAGCAAGTTTGCTTGATGAACATAGACGGTGCCATTAATGTCAGTGTGTGCTTTCGGCAGCGGCCAAAGTCGCTGAACCAGAAGGCATCCTTCGAGATGTCAACTAAAACCTTAATGCATATGGTATCCCTTGCCATTAGTCAGCCGGATGATTCTGTATATCGGACGATGGAAGCAAAACACCGGCTGATGAGTGTTCCTGAACGACCTTGCCTTCGAACTGGATGTGATTTCGCTGTAAGTAATCCAGTACTGTTACACGCAAAACAGCTTATGCCATCGTTAGCCAACAGTTTGATCGTCCTCATACCCTTTATTATACCGCTTGTATGCTGACATTCATTTGCATCGAACTGATTCTCCCTCTGACTATGGAGTCCTTGAACCAAATCCATGCTTTTTCTCAGTAGCCTATCATCTCTGCGTCCTGAAGTCAGCTGTGTTGTATGCTCTTTCTTAATTTCTATAAGTATCCCCAACAAGGGTAACTTATCTACCTTAAAAAAATCCTCGTCAGCTACCATAGAGTGTTAAATGCAGCACATACTTCATGGTTTGCCGCAGAGACCACCACATCACCTAACCCCTCTGTAGGAATGATTAGTAAGTAGTTTTAACGTCTAAGCACTAACAATGTTAAGTCGAATAAGAGTCCAAGCTTTAGACCTTATTGTACCTGACTCTCACTATCTCCGGTTCCCAGTAGGTACGCAGGTCAACGTAGCTCTCAGTCAGCGGAGTCATTTTTTGAAAACATACTTTAATTTCACAAAGACTTCATTACGATAGAGAGATTCTGAACAGCGCGTCAGCCTATTTCAATTAATGCAGGTGCGTTGTTGGGAAGATTTTCCCCCCGTGTGGCCAATCCCAGAGTCCGACTGTCTATTTCATTTTTCACATTGGGTCGACTTCCAGAAACAGACTTTGGTGTGAATTTCAAATAAAAGTGTGTGGGTAGAATACAAGGGTGTGGCGTACTTCGATTTTTCAGTCCCCCAAATATCTGCATTGACTCACTGCGATGAGTTCTAATGATGGCATTTCAGATCGAAAAAATCTGAAGATGTAATGTCTCAGACCGATTCTCGACATGTGATAACACCAGATACATTCCGTGATTCGAGACAGTCATTGTAATAGTTAGGTATGCCGGCTGATGCGAAGGGAGCCTTCTTAGGCCAGAGAACACGGCTTATTTGGGTAGGACGACAGGGATTATCTCCGTCTTCTAGATCATTAAAAGAAGGCCAGATGGCTGCAGCGGCAGCCTTCATCGACCTCCTTGAAGAAAAGCATTCAAAATGCTTGTCCCCAAGCACTAGACGTCAGTTTTTTTCTCTCGGGCGGCCAAAGTGCTGCGCGAGCCAAAGAAACCTTCACCAGGACCCTCCGCTTCCTATGCGACTCGTCAAAAATTGATCAACTACCCGTAATGGAGACGGAAGCCACTTAATAAGCGCTTGTTGAAAATTTTGAGTTTATTTGGCCCGAGTTAGTTAAAGCATCTATACGGCTGCAAATTTGTCAACAGCACACTCATACTTCTTGGCCAGAGTAAAGTGAGCAGAGTCCCTGCGTTCGTGGATAGCCACGCAGATTTCCAGAAGTTATGTAGTAACCCTCCCCGAACACTGATGAGCACATTGAATTAGGGTGTTCTCATTAACAAGGGGAGCGTGATGGGTCCACCATAGCGGCGTTTGGATCATACAAACACGTCTAAGCGCTTAAGGCGACATTTCATCTAGTCCCTCCTTCGATCCAGTTGATATGTTTAAGAGAACCCAGCTTTCGAACTCGTACCTCTCGCTTGGCAAGGCTACAGAAGGTATGCATGATCTGCTTGGATTTCATGAGATGACAATAAATTAGAGAACGTGGAGAGTTTTACAGAGCCAAAGTGAATGCTCTGCTTGGTTTACTACATACTCATTAACGAATCCGCAATAAGTTACATAAAGAACCAATGAATGATTTTTTTTGGAGGTATGAAAAAAACAAGGCCATCCTCCAGTTTTAAGAAAGCATCTTAGAATGACGGCTGAGTCTAGTGGACTAAGTTTTGGGGATTTGCAACACATTTATGAAACATAGTGGGAAAGGTCTCCAAGCGCTGCACTACATGTGATTATCTCTATGATGTTTGGTGGTTAATAGGCGGTCCTTCCTCTCGCTTCTGTGCTAGGAATCTTATTGTCTTTGCTGCACTGTGAGTTGACGTACCCGGTTTAGAGAGCTCTCAATCTTCAGCAAGGATATGATTCCAGCACGTCTCTGAAAGACCACAGGCTGGGAGGCAGAAAATTTCCGGCAAGAGGCACAACATGCCTCATTAATTTGGCTCAGAAATCCACCGTTTAAGCCCCTACGAGGACAACTCATGGAGTGTCCCTCGGTCCAGTCGGTGTATTGGTCCCAATTAACTTACGCAAGGCTAGAATTGCTTGTGTCGACATTTCGGATAACAACAAGCCACAAATGCTCCACGCCCTGCGAATGCCCCATCTGTCTTAGAGGCTTTTCATGACTCTATAATGACTTGTCAGTCTTCCGTACCGCCTACTGGAGACCTTACTCTCTGCCAGCTGAGAAACCATCGATTTTTCCTCGAAGTGTATGAACGGTCATTCTCTTAATAGCCTAGCCGGTCTGACTTCAAATCTTACAACTGAGACGGGCTAGGTGAAGGTGTAAGTACCAAAGGAGGTGGCAGTCTTCGTCTGACTGGAGATACGCACGTTTGCAGAGGAACTGCGCCAGTTGGCAGCTGCTCCTCTGTTAACAAAAGTCCTAGAATTGAATCTAACCATTTTTCAATAACGGCGCATTCGATTGACAAAAATGCTTGGAGGAGTTCTAAGAGAAATATGCTTCGACTTCCACCTTATCCCTTATGCATGAATCTGCGCCTGTACAAATAGTAGCCCTCAGTCAAACCACAATAAGAATGTGCGGCAATGAAGAGGGAATAGGCGAGTGCGCGTTGCCGCCAGATCACACTGCTCCGTCCATCTACTTCTCATCACCCAGGTCAAATTCGTCGGATAATCTAACTGTAAGTTCTAACTACTCCAACAAGTACTTCTGGCGTCATGGTAATGGTCTGATTCTAATGTCAAGGCGTCTCCTTTGGAAATGAGGGCCTAAATATCCGTGCACCTGACCAACTGGTGTAGTGACTGCGAATCAGGCGGCATCCCCACAAGCGTCACGACCCTCAGGTCTCGCTGGCTTACATTTTCAGTTAACTCTTACTGCCGGGTGTCTGTCCTCTCCGAGCCGATTTCGGTGTGCGGGCAACCGAGACAGCGACCGAATAGTCAGAGTGCCGGTTTTAAGAAAAATATAGCCTGTATGAGACTATCGTCTCGGTTTGGACTTATTCTTCTGTAGCTGTTACGTGCTTGCGTACTTGTGGTTGTCAAGTCTCGCTAGGATGTCTGTCCAGTTTATGATATCAAATCCTAAACCGCTGGCTTGAGCAGATAAGGCTGGATGGTGGGTTTACTACGCACCACTGTTCGGCTGTGACCAAGCCTTGCGCAGTTTCAACTGAAAGTGATCAAGTAGATCTAGGATGAGTGAAATAGATGGTACCAGACACACGTCTTTCTTCCTTAAACGGCCTTAAGCTCGCCAAGGCCAACTAAGCATGGGCAGTTCCTTTCCAGTTAAAAAGCCTATTCGTTCCCCAAAGAGCTGCGAAAGGAGAATTAAACGGTCAGATGGCCGAACAAATGGCCCAAATGGGTGGCGGTAGCTGATTTTGTCTAAAACTCTGGTAGAAGAGGGCACACCTCTTGTGCGAAATTCAAGTTCCCCCCCTTATCTGCGACTGCCTCTAATGATGGAGTCGAGGGAGAGTCCGAAACGTCAAGTCAGTAAACCTCCTGATCCAGCTATCGTATCTTCTTCTGAATTAAACTTCCGCATTACGAGACCATACTACCAACTAGCCAATGAATGCCGTTCAATATTTCCACTTTTATAATTCAAGCTCGGTGTAAATGTGTGTGGGGATTAAATGGCTATAAAAAATACAAACAAATGTATTTGAAGAAGTACTTTAATAGAATAGTACAAAGACTACTTAACTCCAATATGGACGGCCGAAACGCCGAAAGTGTAGTTAGTCCACCTCACGCTTCTGAACCCAGCGTCCTCGATCATGCTGGCGAACTCCTCCTGGTCTGGAAAACGACGAATACTCTCTACCAAATACTGATAGGAATGCCAATCGCCGGCAATTAGTTGACCCATGACCGGAATCAGTTGCATCGAGTAGACATCATAAATCCTAGGCAGAAATAGACGATGTACTGACACATTATAAGTACGTTTTAGTCAAAATTCGAGAGAAAGCAACTTACTTGCGAAGAAGCGGGTTTCTGACCCTGCTGAATTCAAGGCAACAGAAACGTCCTCCGGGTTTTAGGACACGACAGGCTTCCTCAAGGACCTAAAATCCCATTGGCTGGTTACCAAATAAATTAACCAACTGTACCTTATCAATGTGCGTGCAGTTTCTTATGCCATAGGCTATTGTATACAAGTCGAACATGTTGTCACCAAAAGGCAAGTGTTCAGCGTTTCCTTGGACCCATTCAACTACAGAAGGGCAAAAAATGTAGGTTTAATGGATGAAAGGAGTTAAAGAACAGAATGAAGTGCAACAGTGGTTACTTTCGGTTAGCCTGAGTGCATTTGCCTTGGCCTTTCCTACTTCCATCATGGAGTCATTTATATCGCACACCGTGATCTTCGGTAGGGTCTTCCCACCTTGATGTTGTTCGTTTATGTTTTTTGAGAAACGGGCAATTCGAATCGCAATATCACCTAGAGGAGGGCATAACGAGAAAGTGGCGGCAACGGGTGACTTACCTGTTCCCCCAGCAACATCGAGACAGTTGAGGTTTGAGGTTGGCATGATGCTGTGAACAAAAAGGTTCTTCCATATTCTGTGAATGCCAGCGCTCATAGCGTCGTTCATGAGATCGTACTTTTCAGCTACTCCGGTAAACACCTTGTCAACTAAAAACCACTTTGCGAGAGAGCATTTGAGAAATTACCCTTGGACTGTTTTTCCTTCTCGTCCACGGTCTCATAGCCGAAGTGAGTGCTGGCAAAACGGGGTGGGATATTTACGAGTTTGTTTGAGACCAGACGAGTGGAGAGAAGCGAACTGACTGAGCACCGAATAAGTGAAGCCATTCGAAATCCTGGGGTAGGAAAAAAGATCCATTAGAAATGAAATTACTCTCAGATACCCACCTTCAGTGGATGACTGTCAAACAAACAGGGTTATTATACACCGAACAAGGAAGGAAATGATCAATAGCCTATCCATCATCGGTAAAGAGGTCGTGATTGTGGTTACTGGATGCGTCAGAGAACGGAACAGTCGAGGAGCAGTGATGGCGGCAAGATTCAGATCTAAGAGGTATTAATCGGAGCGCGATTTCGACTGTTTTCATAAAGGACGCCAGTAACCCGATAAAATATAAGGAACCACCGTAAACTTAATATTTTACCATCCGGCATCCATGGAACTTTAAAAAAACATGGTCCCACCAGTGTGATTAGTAATAATTTACCTCTGGCGGTATCCGGGTGTACTGCGACGGCAAATACAACGACAGTGTTGTTAGTTCCAAATATTTCAAACGGTCAGTGTCTAAGCTGTCGGGAAAGTTGCATCCTGTGCAAAACTTGTCAGGAGGCGAGGCGAAAAGGAGCTCAAAAGGGGAAAGTCAATCATTTGATTCTATCATAAAGTTGTCGACCACGTGTACTTACTAATTTCGGGACATCCAGCTGTACACCCTGGATTAGGGTTACCATGTGCTGCGAACTCCGTATGTTACTGGAAATTACAAACGGTAGCAATCGCTAAATCTACTCAAGGTTGCCGGTTGCGTCAGTTTGCATTCGTACTTCGAAAAAGTTCTTTTGAGACGGTCTGAGACTTGTTTAATGTTGCCCTAGGGGGAATTGGAACACAATTCGGCGGATATTCGTGGAAGTGCTAAATGATGGCAAGCATCAATAAGCAGAATCAGATTCAGACTACAGCAGACATAAGCTGCGGATTTGCAAAGTTCTACATAACGTCATCGAGGAAAAGACCTTATTCACATGAGTGGCTGTCGGCATTTGCTTTTTCGCGTGATGAACAGGGGAGAAAACACGACCGCTCGAGTTCATCGAAACAAAGGCCTGCAAGATCAACTGGAGTAATCTTCCCTAATTAGTAAAAATTCTGGGAACGCGAAGAAAAGAAATCTAGTAACTTGGGTATGGAGATAAGGGGTCTACCTGCGAAAGCGTTATCGGAGATATCCATTGCGACCTTAACTGTCAACAATGCAGACTTGGTATGGCTACGATCATGCCTAATGTAGTCGGCCTACATGATGTCCCGAACAGTACCTCTACACGCGTGAGGATCCGCGGCAGCATATTTCGATAGTTAAACCCGTCCTCTTGGCTAACGACGAAGATGAAATACCGAAGGTTCAAAAACCACTTCCATATCTTGACGAAGTGTGTCGAGCCAGGTTTTGAGTTGACCCTCTCTCCGAGGCCTCCAATAAGGTAACATTGCCGGATCGAGGGCAGTAACACTGAGCTCCTAAGGTGGACGACGAACAACGTGTACAAACCATCTCAGTCGTCTTTTTCGGATGAGCTGAGTTAGTCTTGAGAAGGTGTCGCAGCGACTGCGGACTGTCTCATTTGTGACGAAATCGGTGTACTTCACTCGGAGGATGGTTCTCAAGCAGTGGTGATCAAACAGCACCACTTTTTGCTCGTCCTACATGCGCACAGTCCAGCATTCACAACCAAAAGAAAAGACAGGTTGGATGGATGGATGCAGGGTACACACAAATCTTGGTGACGATGGAGATGTCGCATCGGATCCACAAGCATTTCCTAGGCCTTGAGAAAACCCGGCGGGCAGTGTCAATTCGGGAGACAATTTCATCCTTACCTTGTCCATTCGGCTGCCGCATTGCCCCGAGGTAGGTAAAATGTTCACTTCAAGTTGACAAGCATCGATCTCGAGAGGTGCCTTCCTGTGGTCAGGGATGTAGCTTGAAAACACTTTGGTCTTCCCAGCGTTTATGGATAAACCGACAAACTTAGCGACCTCGTTCAACCTCAGCGCCATAAACTGCAGATCAAAACTTGAAGCTAGTAGGGGGGTCGTGTCTCCTTCTTCACGAATACTTCCTAAGACTCGCCTCTTTGCTTCTATTGGCTAGTGGGGCGATATCATCGGCAGAGTCGAGATCAGTTAGCCAGTGTCCGGATGCAAACTCAACTGAGTCCTCTTCCGTGGGGTCGCAGTAAATAAAAAGATTATGAGGCTATCACAGCGCGGAAGAAGAGGGAAAATAACAATCACAACGGAGTGGTGTTTCACTTAAATGATCGCGCGAAGAGCAATGGTCATTCCCACTTGCCCTAAAGTCCCAATCCAGAATCCTGGAAAGCAGTCATGCGACGACAAGCAGGCAATAATTCAGAATAAATACTACGGAAGATGGGGAGAATGCCGGAATGTTCATCAGCCGACCATAGCACAATACCAGGCCGGAAAGATTTAAGGTCTGAACCCCAATCCAGCTATCCATTGAAAAATTAAGTCCAACGCCCTACAACCTGAGTTTTAGGTCGAGGTTAAGTAGGCTGTGATTGAGAATGCTCCGCTATGCGGCGTTATCTCATCACTGATCTGACCATAAGGAGGAATTTGGGTTGAAAAAAGGCAAAAATGACAATTCCAGTCGCCCCAATTATTGTGAATACTGTTTCTGTACTGGTATTAGTAAGGTGAACGGAAAGTGAACAGCAGAAACCAGACAGCTGAGCGTGCACTGGCATCTTCTGGATTATAAACGTGAACTTGGCAGCGACGAACAGAATAAAAATCAACATAGCCAACAAAGGCAATTCTCCAGGAGTAAATAATGAGACGCTGAAGTCGTGCAGTATTATTCAATCACAAAGTTTCTAACCAATTAGCCTCAGTTCACAACTAGGAGGGTTTTAGTCAATTTGAAGTGGTACTTCTGAAAAAATGATGCATTGGCAGAATGGTATTGCCGACAAAGACAAGGGAGACTGGAATGGCCATTTCTGGCTTATTAGCCGTCGTCAGCCAGCCATACCCAAGCCCGAAGTGTGGAACACCCG